AAGTTGTAAAAATTTAGTACATTGTATATAAATTTTATAGCAGTTCACATGAATAAAGGCAGGATCGCTTAAAATAAGAAATAATATAACAAATCCTACCTGCTTATTAAAATATGCATTCATTTCATCCCAAAATACATTAAACTTTGTTCCTTTAAATCCATTGTTTGTTCGCAAATTGAATATGATATTAGGATCTGCCAAGGTTAACATTAATCGTAGTCTTTCTTCTACATCATGACTGATTGCACTTGGAGTTACAGCAGCATTACTGGTAAGATCAAATGAAGCATCCGTAATATTGCAGGTGTGACTTTCTGGATATAGGAATACTACAATATAAGAAATGAATATATGTTAATATATATTAATCTATTAATAAATATCAGTTGTATTATCATACTTTGTCAAGCACATTCTTTCGCATTTGTCGCGTAAAATAATGAGGCAATTCTTCATGAATCCTAGTCAACATATGTGCTTTTAACGTTTCGTCTTGTCTATCATCAAACGTTTCTGCTTCTGGGATCCTCCATACATAATTGATTGTTTCCAAATAATTACCCTGATAATACCTAAAAAAATAGTAATTTTATAAGATAAAAATATATACGTGAAATTACATTTTATATTGCCATCAAGCGAAAAATAATATTTCTTTTTCTTTTGGCGATACACAATAATATTATATGATTTTTATAGCCAAGACTCGAATACTAACCTATATACACCAATTGGAAATGTAAGCTGCAACTCTTTAATAAACCGATACCATTTCATAACATTCTTCGGAAGAAATTGTTGAATATCAAAATGTTCATAAAATGGCTTTTCAAATAGATAATTATCTAACTCAATGTAATCATCTTTAAGTTTATCATGCTCGCAAGCAGCAATTCAGCATATTGTACTGTTGTTTTTAGGACTATGAGCACTTTCATCACTGTAATGAATCATATTCATATTAGCAGCGGTTGTAATTAAATAATCGGAATAATTTTTTAAAATGTCAATTAAAGAAATAATTGCAGGCATTATTTTGTTCCATATACTGCCACTCACCCAAGGTTGACTAATAGAAAGCTCAAGAGAGCTTGAAAGGTGTGAGCTGTTTTATCTAAATCGATATTAGGAACAAGACAAAATTTAACTTGTGTAAAACCTAAAACTTCTAGCATGGTTAAGTCACCATCTAACCCATTATCTACTTCTTGCCAATCTTCAGATTTTTCCCACCTAATAAAAACTTTTACTTCTCTATTATCATATTTATATTGTCCTAATACAATTGCGTCAAAAAGGTCAAAAAATTGATTATTCGTAGGCTCTATACTCATTACACATTCAGAAATAATAGATTTAACGCCTTCATTAACTTGAACCAAAAGGTACAACATTTTTGATTTTTGAGAAAATTAATCATGAGCAAGTTTTTTATTGCGGAACCACGTTAGCTTTTATTTCTCTTTTTTTTTTTTTTTTTTTTTATAACTACGTTATTTTTTCAATTTCTATTGTTTATATTGCATGATTCATTATTTTGATCATACGTTCTAACTTTTTATAGTATGTTTCAAATTATTGAAGTTCTTTGCTATTTTATAATGAGGTTCGATATAGTCAGTTCGGGACATATTGTCTGAAGACGAGGTTTTTAGCCACTAGACATTAGACATAGTTGCTAACTATTGAAGGATTTTTAACCAAATTAGAATATGTATAGCGATAATTTAAGCAGCAGTAGGAAGAGATTACTCAATTACTCACATACATTTGCATCTAAGGATAGAAATCCTTTATATTTAGAATCTATTCACATTAAAAAAAAAAGTACATTGTTATTGTCGAGTAAATAACAGATGAGTAATTGCCATTTGAGTAATCACCATAATATAAATCCAACAAAGAGAGCTCTTTTTGTTGAATAAATGAAAAACTTTCTTACCAATATCCAGGTAATATTCATATCAATTTCTTACACTTTTTTTTTCTAACTCTACTCTAACGACATCTCTACTTATCAACATTTTAACCACGATCCTGGTTATATGGAGACGGGTATTTATATCCGTTATTATCTTAGGAAAAAAGAACTCATGACTCTCTTTTTCTTTTATAGTACGCACCTTTTACTACATTATACTACTACGATTACATATTTAATGATCACGATTACTATTATTAAAAGCGATAAGATTATGCGCTTAACATTAGCTTGTGCATGCATAGATTTCACTGATTTAACCGATTTGTACTTATAGTTTTAACTGATCTATCGGTTACAAAATTAAAGATTAGCAACGATTAGCTGCAAATATTAATTACGACTTTTTTTATGGCACAACTAGAGTTGTGACTTATCATCACAATAGAATATACTATCGTAATCTAATATATCAGATATATGGCTTATCTTGTAATAATTACAGTTAAATAAGTCTGGAAGATGCAAAATTGCGACTTGTAAGCAACTCTAGTAATAATCACATGACTTAAATACTCGATTTTTATTGGTCATTCTATGTATATTATGTGTATTATTTATATTATATAGGTATTTTTAAAAGGAGAGGGGGGTTATGTTAAACAAAAAATCAAGTTGGTGTGGCCTAATCTGCAGACATAGAATACCTAAAATTATTCTTTCAGATCAAAAACCAAATTTTAGAAGTGATATGATTAGAATTTTGTGTGAAAAATTCTTAATACGACACAAATTTTCATCACCATATC